GCGACGCCTCTTGGCAGGCAGCGCCGGCGGAGGTCGCTAAGCGTCGCACAGGAAACGCTCCGCGCCGTTCGTGGCGCTCTTGGCCCCCAGCGACGACCTGATTGCCTCGCTCGCAAACGGCCTCAGAAGCTCCTCCTTGCCACTCAGCCCCAGTTCCGGGATGTCCTGGGGCCCAGGGTTGTCCGCCCCCTTCCCTGTCTGGGCAGGGATGAACCGCAGGGCCTGCTCCAGTCGGTCGAGGGGGAGCTCCGCCAGGTCCTCCTCTTGTGCCATTCGGCGCGCCCTGGCAATAGCCTCGAAGAAGTGGACGTCCGAGCGGCGATGACAAGCGCCTGGGGCCCTGCCCGCTCGCTGCCGCAGCCGTGCGCACATCGGCGAGAGGCCTGCCGCGGCATGCCCGAGAGAGGCGCCCGCCTGCCGGCGCCCTGCCCGCGCCCCACCACTCGGGCCCCGTGCGCCCCGCCCTGGCGCTAGGAGGTGCAGCAGGTCCCAAGCCCTGGAGGGTTTCTCCGAAGGGCTTAGGCGACCCGTCCGCCTCCTCCTCCTCCTCCTCCTCCTCCTCCTCCTCCTCCTCCTCCGCCTCCTCCTTATCCTCCTCCTCCTCCTCCTCCTCCTCCTCCTCCTCCTTCTCCTCCTCCTCCTCCTCCTTCTCCTCCTCCTTCTCCTCCCCCTCCCCCGCCTCCACCTCCTCCTCCTCCTCCTCCTCCTCCTCCTCCTCCTCCAACTCCTCCTCCTCCACCTCTTCGGGTCGCCTACGGCCCCGGGGAAAACCGTGCAGTCCCAAGCCCGAGGGGCCGAGCTCGCCCCGGCCCAGCCCACCTCGCCGGCGCCACCTAGCGGGGCTCGGAGGAGGAAAAGGAGCATCCGTGCCTCTACCCTCTTTATATTCGTGTTTTCTCCTTCTGGGGGCCTCCCGGGAGATCCTCTCGTCGCCACCGCTGGGTTCGCCTAGAGATCTTGGTCAGAACGCAGCCTGGGAGTAGCGTTAAGTCGGGGGTGTCCCCATGCAGGAGGAATATTCAATAGTCCAAGAAAATATTACGGGGACGATGTTTATGAGTTTTGAAGTATGTTGAGGATTTGTTGGCTGTCTTTCTCGTCCCAAATCCGCCTGCGACCTCAGAGTAGCGGTGTCGGTACCCAATGGTTTCCCGGGGGCGGCCCCGACGCCCAGGGCGTTTTCTCGCCCCCCCGGGGTGCTCAGGGGCGTGCGCTCCCAAGCGCGTTCCACGACGCGCAGAGTGTCTGCTCGCAGGCGTCCGACGAAGACGTGCTCGCCTCGATGTGGCGGACTGAGAGTCCCCCACGGCGGGTCCAGTCCGTCTGCGAGTATCGGGGAACGAACAATGACATAAACAGAATCACTCGGAGGTCCGCGCGGATTTCTCGGATCGGCGCTGGGGCCCCTGGCGGCGCCTCCGGCGCCGCCCCTTGCGCGCTACGCGCGCCAGGGAGGGGGGTCCAGCGCGGATTCAAGAAATCCGCGCAGAGCGCCAAAAGTTTATGTTTATGGCGATGCTTCTTTTTCTTTTTCTTCGAGAATCCCCCGCGGCGGATCCATTCCATGTGCCAGCAGTTACTCTTTGCGAGTAGTGGAGCGCACTCGTCCAGTTGCGCTGTGGTGCAACGGGGAGAGGCGGTTGCGGCCGAGCACGCCCCTACGGCCGGCGCGACTGTGCCCAGGGCTGGAGGGGCCCAGCGAGGATCGGGGACGACGATGGGGGCGAATAGCCCAGGCGGAGAGCAGTACACGGGGGGCGACGATGGGGGCGAATAGCCCAGGCGACGATGGGGGCGAATAGCCAGGCCCAGCGAGGATCGGTGGCGACGATGGGGGCGAATAGCCCAGGCAGAGGCAGAATTGCGAGGCCCAGCGAGAATCGGGGGCGACGATGGGGGCCCAGCGAGGATCGGGGGCGGAGAGCACTACATGCGCCGATGGTCCATGTCTTCGGCGAGGCTCCTGGGCGAATGCGTGTAATGCCCGCCCCTGGGCTATTCGCACCTGTCGTCGCCTCCGAAAGGAGGCTCACGCGAAACCGCGGGGACTGCCGAGGGAGGGCCCCTGGCAGCCCCGACCCTTCGGACGCCGCGAGCGCTCCCCGGGCCGCGAAATCGGCTTCTGCACTTGGCCCGCGCGCTGCCTTCGGTGGCCCGGGGGGGGGGGGGGGGGGAAGGCGCGGTCGGGCGAGGAGGGCCCGCGCGCTCTCGCCTCGCCTAGTGCGCCACCTTCTCGAGGGCGAGGCGGGGCCCCCATGTGGCCAGCCCTCCCCCTGCCAGGAGGAGGAGGAGGAGGAGGAGGAGGAGGAGGAGGAGGAGGAGGCGGAGGAAAAGGGGCGTCGGGAGGACGAAGAGAAACGAGCGGGAGAAGGAGGAGGAGGAGGAGGAGGAGGAGGAGGAGGAGGAGGAGGAGGAGGAGGAGGAGAAGGAGGGAGGAGGAGAGGAGGAGGGAGGAGGACGAGGACGAGGACGAGGACTAGGACGAGGACGAGGACGAGGACGAGGACGAGGAGAGGAGGAGGAGGAGGAGGAGGAGGAGGAGGAGGAGGAGGAGGAGGAGGAGGGAGGAGGAGGAGGAGGAGGAGAGGAACAGGAGGAGGAACAGGAGGAGGAACAGGAGGTGGAGGAAGGGAGGAGGAGGAGGAGGGAGGAGAGGAGGAGGAGAAGGAGGGAGGAGGGAGGAGGGAGGAGGAGGAGGAGGGAGGAGGAGGAGGGAGGAGGGAGGAGGAGGAGGGGGAGGGGGAGGAGGAGGAGGAGGGAGGAAGGCGGAGGAACAGGAGGAGGAACAGGAGGTGGAGGACGGAGGGAGGAGGGAGGAGGGAGGAGGGAGATGGAGGGAGGCGGAGGAGGAGGAGGAGGAGGAGGAGAAGGAGGAGGTGGAGGTGGAGGAGGAGGAGGGAGGAGGGAGGAGGGAGGAGGGAGGAGGCAGGAGGGAGGAAGGATGGGGCAGCGAGGAAGAGGAGGCAGAGGAGGGCACCGGCTGGAGCGGCTCGCTGGCTGTGTGGTCGGATTGAGCTGCGGAGTCCGCGTTTTCTAGCGGCGGTCGCCAGGGTGCGCCCGAGGGGGTCGGGGGAGAGGACGGGGAGCACCCTCCGTCGCCCAGAGCTGATGGATTCTCTCCCACTCCTCTCCAGTTTTTCGTGTCGCCTCACTGTGAGTACCGCCATTCTCTCTCCCTTGACAGCATGCTGGGTGTCACTCGCCCTGCCCTCGCGTTGCTTCGGTGGGTGGACTAGAAGTGTCCACACGTGTCTCGCCAAGACCTGGAGTTATTAAAGCACGTCGGACCGTAATGTATACCCCCCTTTCCCCCAAATTCAAAGTTGACGGGTGTGGGCGGTGGGCCGCAGGCCAGGGAAAAAGTGTGGACACTTCAACTTTGATTTCGGGGGGGGGTGCGAAGCAAAGGCATTTCCCAGTTGTGGTTGTCATCATGTTGTATCGCCTTACCGCCATGGGTGTGGACACTGTTTGTCCGGCCACCGTTACACGCAGTCATTCTGGACCGTCGAAACGAATGTCTTCCCTCCACTCGGAAAGCGTTCGGCCTTTCAACAAGGCGTTCTTGCTGCAGCGCTGGTCTCACGTCAGGATCGGTACGCAGCTTCCGTCGTTCAGAAAGGCGCTCTCGCCACAACGCGGACCACGGTTCTGAATATGATTCCTTCTTTGTCGTTGCCATCCCTTTCTTTTCCCCTCATCCGCCTCCCCCTGTTCCTTTTACTCTTCCTCCTCCTCCTTCTCCTCCTCCTCCTTCCTGGTATCGGTTTTCCAATGTGGAGGGCAATGCGATTCCGTCAGTGTGTGGTTGGCTATGCAAATCGATGCTTGCAGCCTGCCCGCACGCAGAGCGTTGAATTGGGTTGTCATGTTCAGTCGAATTGTGTGTAGTGCTTCCTATCAGCATTCACTGCAATTCCTTGTGCCACGCAGCTATCAGTAGTTTGTTGTATTTGCAGTGTTTTGTGATACTCTTCTTTCTAAGTCGGGAAAGCACTCTTAGCGGATTTCGTTATCTTGCCCTCGGACGGGTTTTCGCGGCTTCTTGTTGTTGTCCGCCCTCCTCTCTGTGGTCCCTCCTCCTCCCTGGTGTACAAACGAATTCCCCTTCGTTGATTGTACAACAAGCGATTGGCCAAGTTCTACAACTTTCACGTGGGGGCCAATGCTTTCAAGGACACCACATTCGGCAGATGCAAAGGATTCAGAGCAATGAGAAGAGATGTGGGAGAGGGAGGGTTTGGATGTCACATTCGGATCGAGCGCACCAAGCTTGCCCCTCACCTCTGTCGTAATCGACGGCCACGGGGACTGAAGCCTACCCGAGGCGGGTCCCCTGATGATGCAGAGTTCCCCGCGAAGGACACCTCCTCGATGGCGAACACCACACGCGTGCGTGCGCGCTGGCACGCTTGGTGCGCAGACTGTACGCTCACGCGCACTCGATGACACAACACGGAGGCAGTGCACCAGGCTCTGCCCATTCTATGCTCTTCCAGCCCCTCCTCGTCCTCCTTCGCCTCCGCATCCATCCTGCTCGTCCTCTTTCTCCTCCCTCCCCCTCCCTTGGTCTCCTGGCGGCATGCCGTCCGGTGGCCGAGCTTGCAGGAAGCCCTTCGCCGTTGTAATCGCCCCGGGCTGCTCCATGCCCGCGCATGGAGATCGGAAACGCAGGAGGGCGTGATGCGTCCCGACTCTGCTCCGGCTTTGCCCTGCTGCCAGTCTTCTTCTTTTCCTCCTCTTCCCCTTCCTTCTCCTTCTCCTCCTCCTCCTCATCCCATTCCTCCTCCTCCTCCTCTTTCTCCTCCTCCTGCTCCTCCTTCGAACTGCGGGCAGTGTCGAGCGATCCTGCTCCTCCTCCTCCTCCTCCTCCTCCTCCTCCTCCTCCTCCTCCTCCTCTTGCGCCTCCTCCCTGCGAGTCACCATCTCTTGACGCTTCCGTTCTTGCTTGGCCTTGTCCGATTGTCCTCAGCTGCCCCCCCCGCTCGTCTTGACCGCAGGGCGTCTCCGCAGACGTCCGCGCGGGCCTTCGATCGGGAGGGCTGTGGCTGTAGCGTAATGTAGCTCGTTTTCCGCCTCCGCATCAGCGGGTCATCGGCTCCAGAATTCAGTGGTGTCCTCTGCCTGCCTCCTTCCCTCACGATTTCCGTCCCTGCCTGCCCATCCCTCATGATTTAGAGCCGCATCTACAGCCTCTCTCTCTTTCTCTCTGCACGCTTGTACGCGGGCTTCAACGGGTATTCGAAGTTGCATTGTTGGCAGCACGTTTTGGAGGTGATGGGGGTGATGATGGTAATGATGATAATGATGCTGATGATGATTATTGTTATTATGATGATGGTGGTGGTGATGAGGATGATGTGGATGATGATGATGATGATGCTGATGATGATGATGATGCTAATGATGATGCTGATGATGCTGCTGATGATGATGATGATGTGACGATGATGGTGATGATGGTGATGATGATGGTGAAGATGGTGACGATGATGGTGGTGGTGATGATGATAATGCTGATGATGATGATGATGATGCTGACGACGATGTGAATGTTGCTGCTGATCGCGATGGTGGTGGTGATGCTGATGATGGTGGTGATGATGATTATAAAGGTGATGGTGATGATGGTGGTGACGCTGAGCATGATGATGTTGATTGTGATTGTGCTGATGATTATGATGATGACGATGATGCTGATGTTTCTGCTGATGTTGATGTTGATGGTGTTGATCATGATGATGGCGATGTTGTTGATGATGATGATGGTGGTGATGATGGTGATAATGATGGCGATGGTGGCGGTGATGATGGTGGTGGTGATGGTGATGATGAAGCGGGTGGTGGTTATGCTGATGAAGATGATGATGAAGAGGATGATGATGCTGATGACGATGATGGTGATGATGGTGGTGATGATGGTGATGATGATGATGATGGTGGCGGTGATGATGGTGGTGGTGATGGTGATGATGGAGCTGGCCGTGGTTTATGCTGATGATGAAGATAATGATGAAGAGGATGATGATGATGACGATGATGTTGATGATGGTGGTGATGATGGTGGTGGTGATGAGGAGGGAGGACGACGACGATGGCGTTGACGATAACGCTGATTATGATAATGGTCATGATGGTGACGATGACGAGAATATGATGATAATGATGATGAAGAAGAAGATGCTGATTACGATGTTGATGATGATGATGATGGTGGTGATGATTACACCTCGTTTGGGCTGTCTTGAGGCTGTCTTGGCCTCCTGTGATGCAGTCTTTGGGTTCCCTCGGGGCCCTCTTGGGCCGTATTGGGGCCCTCTTACACCGGCTTGTGGCTCTCTTGGGCCGTCTTGGGGCCCTCTTGGCCGCATGGTGGGTTTTGGGGGGCCGTCTTGGGCTGTCGAAGGGCCTTTGAGCCCATGTTGGGTCCCACGGGAGGCCGTCTTGGGACCGTCTTGGATGCCTCTTGGGCCATCGTGGAGGCGAAAATGCAACAATCTGTCAACACCCAAGGGAAATGTATGGTGTTGGCTTCTTCGGACCCTGTTGGAGGTCCTCTCAAGGCCCTTTTGGGCCCTTCTGGAGGCATTTTGGCCCGATCCGATTCGATAGTTGGCCGCCTTTGGGCCATCTTAGGCCGTCTTCGAGGCATCGTGGGCCATCTTGGTGTCCTTGGTTGCCTGCACAGTCCGTCTTGGAAGCTCGGGGCACAGATCCATCGTTTTTGATGAGAGATCGTGGCTTGGGAGGCCTTGCAGCGCTTGGGAGCAGCGCCTGGGAAAGTGGGAAGTGCATGATCCTCGAGCGGGTGCGCGTGGGATGAAGGGTCTAGGAGTTAGAAGCCATGCAGGAAGTGCACAATCCTCGAGCGGGCGCGCATGGAATAAGGGTTCAGACATTAGCTGCCGTTCGGGAAGTGCACCGTCCTCAAGCGGGCACACGTGCAAGGGCGGGGGCCAGGCATTTAGCTGCCATGCGGGAAGTGCACCATCCTCGAGCGGCACGCGTGGGAGTTCAAGCATTAGCTGCCATGCTGGTAATGCACCATCCTCGAGCGGGCACTCGGGAAGGAGAGGCGATGTATTCAGCAGTCTGCGTCGAGAGGGAGGCTCCCTTAGTAGAATCCAAAAACCCTACCAGACAGACCTTGGCATTCTTCCACGCCTCAAGGTGCCAGGGGGCACGATGGCGGATCAGCTTTGCGCACTCCGCTGGCGCCTTCGCTGAGCTAGACCCATCGGCCGCGAAGAAAAACATGTGTGTTGTCAGTGTTTGTGCACGTGTGTCTGTTTCTGTCTATGTGCGTGTCCATTCGTGTATGTGTGTGTTTGTGTTTCTGTCTGTCTCTGTCTCTGTCTCTGTCTCTGCCTGCCTGCCCGCCTGTCTGTCTTTCTGTCTGTCTGTCTGTCTGTGCCTGGCTGTCTGTCTGTTTGTGTGTGTTTATGTGTGTTGGTATTAGTGTGTGTGTCTAGATGTGTCTGTGCGTGTGTCTGCAAGCGTCTGTGTGTTTGTCTTTGTGTATGTGTTCTTCTGATCTGTGTTGTACCTTCGCGGAGGGGGGCAAGTGTGTGTGTGTGAGCGTATGTGAGCGTATGGCCTGTCTCTGTCCGACGTGCGATCTGCCACTGAGTTCATAGCCAAAGGTGCACATGCTTACAGATGATACCGAACATCGCATCGTTCCAGTTCTTTGTACATGCTCTTGTTCTCTGTGTCTCTCTCTCTCTCTATATATATATATGTATATATCTTTCTCTCTCTCCCTCTCCCCCTGCACATGTAGACAAAATGCTTACATATACACAGATACGTATACTGACACGTATCTATATGTGTATATATATATAGTATAGGCATATGTACATATGCATATTATGTAAATGAAGCACGAATGATGCATATATGATGTAAACAGATCTCTCTCTATATATATATATATATATATATAATATAGAGATCGTCTACGAAGCCTGGGGGCCCCAGGCTGGGGGCCACCACAACGCCAGAGGTGCTGCAGGGGCGCTCCGAGAGCCCCGAGTCGCTTCCGAGTCGCCGGAGAATCGCTCCAACACGGTCGCGGTTGTCTCCAGATGGCCCATCACGTTGACAGGGCGCTCCACGAGGGTTTCCAGACAGCCCAAAACGCTTCCCGGGATGCTCCAAGAGGGTTCCCAGACGGCACCCAAGGGGGCCCCAAGAGGCAATATTCACGTGTTTTCCACAAGTTTTTGGCGCTTTTTGGGGCTTCCGCCTCTTCGGCTTGCCGATGCTCCAGAAAAGCCCCGGAAGCACCACCACCACCACCACCACCCGCTTCAATTCGATTTCAGGGGCTACCCACCTCCGCCTCCTCCTCCTCCTCCTCCTCCTCTTCCTCCTCCTCTTCCTCCCCGTTATCCTTCTCCTGCTGCTGCTCATCATGTTGTTCCTCGCCAGTCATGCTGCGCCCCCTCCCGTTCCTTCCTCCTTCTCCTCATCATCATCACCTTCATCCTCCGCCTCCTGCTCCCCCGCCTCCTGCTCCTCCTTCTCCTCGTCCTCGTCCTCCTTCTCCTCCTCCTCCTCCTCCTCCTCCTCCTCCTCCTCATCGCGCCCCCTCTTCCCCTGCCTCCCTCGTCATCCTCACTCCTTGTCCTCATCATCTTGCTGCTCCTCCTCCTCCTCATCCTCCTCCTCTTCCCTCCTCCTGCTCCTCATCGTCTCACTGTTCCCCCTCCTACTCCGAGGAAGAGGAGGATCAGGAGAAGGGGGAAGAACGTGAACAGCAGGAGGATTCCGAGCAAAGGAGGAGGAGGAGGAGGACGGGGAGCGAGGAGGTGGAGGAGGAGGTGGAGGAGGAGGAGGAGGAGGAAGAGGAGGAGGAGGAGGAGGAAAGGGGATAGGGGGAGGAGGAAGAGGAGGAGGAGGAGGAGGAGAAAGAGGAGGGAAATCAGAAGAGAAGGAGGAGGAGGAGAAGGAGGAAGAGGAGGCCGATATGCGAGTGATTTGATGAGGAGGAGGAGAACATGGAGGAGGAGGAGGAGGAGGAGGAGGAGGAGGAGGAGAAGCAGGAGGAGGAGGAGAAGGAGGGGGAGTAGGAGGAGGGGGAGAGAGGGAGGGACGCCGAGGGAGGAGGAGGAGGAGGAGAAGGAGGAAGGAGAACAATCATGAATGGGAAACAGGGATTGGGAGGCGGATGCAGGATGAGGGAGATGAGGAGGTGTAGGAGGAAAATGGACATGAGGAGAGGGAGAAACGAGACAAGGTATCGATAAGGGAAGGTAGGGTGAGAAACGTAAGGGTGAGAAGGAGGAGGAAGACGATGCGGGAAACGGCATTGTGCACAAGGGAAAGGTATGACATTGGAGGGGGCGAGCACATTGATGGACATACATAATATGATGTGCAAAAATAGTCCTATGTAATGTCATGCAAGTGTGCATAAGTTTATTTATATATATATATACATATACGCATTCATTTATGTCTAGATATACTCATGTAGGCATCCCGCTCTCGCTCCCTCTCTCTCCGTTTCTTTGTTTATCTCTCACTCTCTCTCTCGCGCTCTTTGCCTCTTTCAATGCATATATACATGCATACACAAAACTACATGTATGTTTTATGCGTGTATACATTTTTGAATACGTATATTTATATATGTATAGATATATACGTATGTATATACATACATACAAATACATACAAGAATGCAGTGGCGCTTCGCGCCATGCACCTTGGTCCTTGAAGTTTGGCATGCAGGCGGAATGGCAGGAAGGTCAAGCCGACAATCTAGCGATAACTCCTTGTTGCCTTTTCTGGCATGGCCGTTCTAATAATGTTTTTCGTTATTTGTCCTCCATGTTTTTGCTTCCTCATTCTCGCCATACCATGCGCATTCTCCCAATCCTCCTCAGCTCTTTTTGCGGAGGCTCCTCCTTAGAGAGCTTCTGGGGGCCTCACAAAAGTGTTTCAGGCTTTCTAGAGGCCTTCTGGAGGCTTCCTGGGCCTGTTCTGGGGGCGTCCTTCCTCGGGCCACCCTGCCTCCAACCGCGGTCTCCCTGAACGCCTGGGTCACGATTTGG